GTCTGTTAACTACAATTCCCATGATGCCACATTTCCTGTTATAGCTGATGCAAAGGGTGAAATAGGAATAAGGTTAGCGATAGCCTTAACGCCTCTTGGGAAACTCTTCCAAGTTTGGACATCAAAGTGTCGACTCCTTTCTGTCTAATTTTCTCTTCATTTTTGGTTAATTGTTGGTACAATGTCTTAAATCTGTTGGGGGGTTTTGTAGCTGTTGCTTTTTTGCACCCTGGCCGTCATTTTTCAATATGTGCCATTTTTCGCCAATGAAACGTATTGATGAATATTTCTGCCACTTTTTCCGAAAGAAAAATAGTGGAATTCTTTCCGTCACTATAGGTTTGGTGAACTTATGAGATGCAAAACGCTGCAAAATCTCTTCGAATTTACTATGAGGAAAACTTTATTAATAAACATGATCAAAATAATGGCGGGATTCAACTGCCACTTTTCAGAACCATTTGATAAATATCACCTGATGTGTGCGGTTTTTTTGTACATGTATCCCCTGCTGTGTGCATTTTTTTTGTACATGTTCCAACTGCGTTCCCCAACCCTCCCCCTCCCCCCCACCTACATGCACCCATGGGCATTATGCACGTTTGATTGATTAAAGACCATCAGTTGTAATGTTTAGACAGGACTAAACACACATAATCTATTGATCACCATTGAAGATGATCAATACATTAGCTTATTCGGTGCTCTATTAAAAAACATCCAAATGGAAATATTCTATTAATTTAAATCGATTTCTATACCCAGTTAACAATGTGAAATATAAAGTATTATAATTTGTATGGGGAGTTTACATAGACTCCTTTTGAGGTAGGTAGATTATAGAGGGTTATTCACTTAACTATAAATTGTAGCAAAATAAAACCCGGAATGGCAAAATATATGGAATAATAGCGAATCTGTAAAAAAAATTCTCAAAATCAGCCGTAGAAACTGCTTTGATTGTTTCTGAATACCTTTTGCCATCTGGATTTTAATTTGCTTCAATTTAAAGCTTAATGAATTAAACCAATATTGTTGGATGTGTTTGAAACAGCAGGTAAGATATCAGGAGTAGAGTCAGACTGGCCTACAGAATCAAGCTGTTCTCTAGTCTAACAATGAGAATTTGTCTTGTCTCTGAGCTCCTGAGCTGGGGTGGAGAAGCTTTTAGCCTGTCACTCAAACATCAAGCTGACAGGAGCTAGCATTCTATCAGTTTAAGATAGCACCGATTGCTAATTCAGGGAAACAAAATAGCAATTGTAATTATGGCCTTTGATAAGATAAAAAGAAAACAAGAAGAGAGAAAGGCAGTTAGAATAGAGAGTTATGGTACAGGGAACAAGGAAAAGAAGGAGAGAATGAAATGAGTGAGCAGTAAAGATCTCAGATTAAAAAACTGATAATCTACAGTATATTAACAACTGCCAATCAAACAAACAAGGCTGAGAAAACTGATTGTCTGAGAACACAGTCCATTCATGGCTTTAGACTGCAAGCATTTGTTTAGATTATTTAAAGCAGGCATTTATAGTATGTTTAACCTATTGGGTGCAAAAATGATGGACTCATTGTCACCCACCTCCAGCCTGCATTGAAGACCACCACAAACCCCATGGAAGGTTATGGGGGTGCAGTACCCCCCCCATTAAATGTATCTATGGTCTCCCAGACAAAAGTCACTCAGGCAAGTCCTTACATGTTCTCTGGCCTTCTCCCTGCAAATCAACAGGGATACAACCTTCACTTGGGTTTGACAGTATTAATTATTATTTTTGTAAATTTTTACTAGTAAAACCATTGATCTCCAAGCTAATTCAACTGAGTTGCTAATCATGTAGTAATACTGTAATCTGAGCCGAATGAATTGAATTGGATATCTAAAAGATCATTTTGGAATGTGTGTGTGTGTGAGAGGGAAGGGAGGGGGCCTGTATTCAACTTACTTTATAGACACCCGGCATGCAACATGTTTGTATTAACCCCTTGAAGCCAAACACCCTTTAACAGTGATTGGAGAAAGAGTGTGCAACCACATTAACTCGTTCAATCCAATGGCTTGCTGGCCATGTTGTAAACCAGCAGGGGTTATAGCTACCCTCTGATCATTAAAGAGTTAATGCATGCACAAGCTACAGCGAAATAAAATGCACACAAATACATAGTAACCATTTAAATGAATAATAATCGTTTCAATTTATTTAGCAATGATTCCAAGCTAGTTTATAGAAAGTACATGGGATGTCTTTCTCTTGTTTAATAAATAAATCGGTGCACCTTTAAAATTGAGTTTTTGTTTTTGCATGTTTGTGTGTGTTTGTGTGTGTTTGTGTGTTTCGTTTTTCTGTTTACCTCTATGCATATTGTGTTAAGACCCTGCTCCAGTTGCAAGCAGAGTTTTCAATGTGAATTGGAATACAATACATGCAGAGTGATTTTTTTTTTTAATTACAGTCTGGCTTGAGGTACCTTCAATGTTTGCACTTCTCAATTTAAATATCTATGAGGAAGAAACTATATGTACAGAAAGGCAATGTTTGCTTTCTGATAGCCCAGCGGGATGTGGGTTTATTTTAACACTTACAGCTCAGAGTAAGAAGGGACTGGCTATGGAAGGGTTCACCTTGTGAATTTGGGGATGGTGTGATAACCATTCGTCTCCACAACAGAAAAATCAACAACAAAAATCTTTTATACCTCCATCTGCAAGTCAATAGGTTCTGGATTGTAAAAAAGTTTAGCAAACACAATAATTATGTCATTGCTTTGCCTTCCCTTACTATCTGACTGACTATGACTGTGTGAGAATATGTTAGAATAATTTGGAGATTTCTCCATATCCCTGACGATAAATCTTGTTTTATCCCCTTGGCTCCTTCTGCAGATCCCAGTTTCTAAGCCCTGGGCTCCCAGGAGCAGTTTGCTTCGGGCTATGAAACTTTACAAACGAATTAGCAATCCCCACATGTAACTTTACCTTTAAGATTTTAAAACCTCTTGATCTACATCAGACTAATTCTAGTGGTAACCCAGTGACAAGCTTTAATAAATGTTTGCGATTTGTCCAAAGTTAAAATCACAATGGGGAATAATAGTGGATACTATACCAGTGTACATTGAAACATTGACACAGGGAGATACAGTTTGGATCATTTACCTGTGCACATTAAATTCACTGTGATAATATTAGTGTAGTTACTGCACAGAGTGAATTCATTTGAGTTTTTATTTAATGTGATTATAAATATTACTAACTTGTTTTCAAAATATATAAAACATATTTACTTTTGCAGGTGATTATGGCAAAGTAATATCTGTAATGCTTGGGGCAAATTCTGGGGGTTCTGCATGGTAAAAAAAACAACAACAAATCTATAAACTTTAGAAAGTATTTAAATAGGAAACTCCAATGAATAAACAATATCTAAAAATATTGAAATAGGAGAGATCAGATGACAAAGTGGTTTTCATATACCTGGGATCATGTACAGTTTCACACATTGATTTACACCCTATAGTGTGGGTGCAGAAGTGTGGACATGGTGTGTGGGGGCTAATCCAATCAATGAGTCTGAGTTTCCCATAGATTCTTCCAAACACAATAACCTGTGAAGTGAAACTAACACGGACTCCTGAGAAAGACTCTACCTGTTTCTGTCTTAAAACACTTGTTACAGAGTTCCAATATACATCTAACCACATGGAGTCATCTGCTTCAATGTCTGGATCACTATAAAATGCTAATGGTTTCACACCCAGGGGGGCACTGGCTACATTTACATTGTGTAGACTTTCTTATACAAGTCATTAAACCCTAATAAAGACAAAAAATGAAATAAAAATAAAGGTATTTTATTACACTGAATGTTAAAATTGTATCTGTCTATCTATCTATCTATCATCTATCTATCTATCTATCTATCTATCTATCATCTATCTATCATCTATCATCTATCTATCTATCTATCTATCATCTATCTATCTATCATCTATCTATCTATCTATCTATTCTATCTCTCTCTATCTATTCTATCTCTCTCTATCTATCTACCTATCTCTCTCTCTATCTATCTACCTACCTATCTCTCTCTCTACCTACCTACCGACATACCTACCTCTTTCTCTCTATATCTACCTGTCTCTCTCTCTCTCTCTCTCTCTACCTGTCTCTCTCTCTATATCTACCTGTCTCTCTCTCTCTCTCTCTCTACCTGTCTGTCTCTCTATCTATCATCTATCCATTGTCCCCACATGCAATGGTACATATTAGTACATATATGCAAGCTGCTACATAAAATCCAAAATAAATCAAATAATGTATGAGCTATATTATATTATAATGTATCAGCTATATTATTATATTATAATGTGTGAGCTATATTATTATATTATGTTATATTATGTCATGTTGTGTTATAATATTATATTCTATGTTGTGTTATTATATTATATGTTGTGTTATTATATTATATTATATGATGTGTTATTATATTATATGTTGTGTTATTATATTATATTCTATGTTGTGTTATTATATTCTATGTTGTGTTATTATATTATATGATGTGTTATTATATTCTATGTTGTGTTATTATATTATATTCTATGTTGTGTTATTATATTATATTATATTATATGATGTGTTATTATATTATATGATGTGTTATTATATTCTATGTTGTGTTATTATATTATATGTTGTGTTATTATATTATATTCTATGTTGTGTTATTATATTCTATGATGTATGGCCACTTGCTGCACTGATTGGGAACCCCAGGTTGTACTTGCTAATTGCTCTGTTTTATGACCTACATAATTCAGTGGTTTAGCTGAGTTCAGATTGTGTGGCTGCTGTGGAAGGGGCAGGATTAACACGTGCCCCCACCCACATTTAGCCCAGGGTGGGAGAGGGGGGGGACCAGCTCAGGGTAGAAGGGGGAGTTTGACATTGGAGAGCTTATGACAAGAGATCACTGGCAATAATTTGAGTCAGTGCTCAATGAGACACCAGCCAAGACACACTCACACACTCACACACAGGCTGTGGGGTCAGAAGGAGCTTCCCAGCCACAGCTCCTCCTAAACCAGGTTACATTGGCTGAACTCATCCACTTTCTAACCATCAGCTTCCAGCAGCCAGCCTGCACACCAACACACAACGTCATTTTGGAAGAAGATCTGATCCTCCCAGGTTGTGAAGTAGCTATTTTTTTTTTTTCACTTATTCAGACTTTACTTTCAGCCTCCAGAGGTTGCTCCCAGTGAGCTGAACATTCTGACAGTCTGGTTACTGTAACATTGTATCATGATCTGCACGTTGGGACATCAGCCCCTGTGACCCTCCTCAGAGCCCACCTTGGAGAAGACTTGGACATTTCAGTCACCTCATCTTCACAACTTGGAACCCAGGCAGGACTGAGCTCTGTCTCTGCTAAGAAAGAGGAGAAATTGAGGCTGCAATCTGCTCTGGAAGGATTTTTGTCTCAGTCTGTTTGCAGTAACTCAGAAGGAAAAGGGGGAGAATCTCTGCCAGGAACCTGCGCTCTGCACCTCTGCCCAGGCTTGCTGAGTGATCTTTCGGGGTGTTTCTGTTTTTTGGGGGACTTGGTAGCGTGCCCCCTCCTTGTGCCGGGGGTGACTTGGTGTCCCTCTCTGCCTGTCTCCGCAGTTTGGCCAGGGGGGATGGGAGGAGGGGTCTGCAGAAGATCCCTGGACTAGTAGTGGCTGCATTGCACCTTCTTCTGCTATCATCTGGCAATTAACCAAGGGACCCAGCTAGCCCAGACACAGCTAGCCCAGACACAGCCACAGCTAGCCCAGCCACAGCCAGCCCAGCCACAAAGCTTCTCTCTGGGATTCACTGTCATTGCACCATGAGGTACATCACATCAGTCCTGGGCTATCTGTAAGTATCCCTCCTAACACCCAATGTACCTACCGTACAGGGGGCTTCATTTACTAAACACTGAATTCTACTGAATTGTAAAACTGAGACAAGAACCGATCTGGGGAAATTCTCCAATCCAGTTACAGTCACCGTGTGGCTATTTCAGTCTGATTGTTACAATATGATTTCTATTTCACTACAATCCGGAGTTTAGTAAATACAGCCCAGTTTCTGTTTAGCGATGTGTGCGATAATATGCCTCCTAACCTGCCCCTCTTTATCTCTTTACAGGTTGTTACACTTGTTTGTCATCTGTTTACAAGCTCAGGTAAATATCATTTATTTATACTTTTTAAATGAATCTCTAAAGGGACAGGGTTTTCGTTTGTTTGTTTTTTGCTGTTTTGCTTTGAATTCCCCTCTGTTGCCCTGAAAATGCTTTTCAACTTCCCCTCCCTAACATGAGCATGAAATAGAATCATGCGATAAACAAACAAACACACAAACAGATAAACAATGTTTCACATAAAACACAACAAACACTCAGCGTACTCACAAGCTCCTTAGCTGTCTGCAATCCCACATCTGATACAATGTTAGCAGCCCCTAGTTAAACAGCGAGCTTGGGGTATTGCTGAGTTACTCTGCACTCACACATCTAATAACTGCTCAAGGTCAAAGTGTTACAATTACAATTCTAGCATTTTTTTTAGAATGTTTATTATCTGCATTGCAAAGATATATAAAATGTGATTTTAGTGTCTGTGTAACACACATCATCTAATTGCTGTTTATTTTTCCCCCATTAATTGCTGTAATGCAATGATAGTGTCAAAAGTGCAAACCTAATAAATTGGAATTTTGTGTAAGGAAAACTGGAAAAATAGAGAACATCAGATGGTTAACAGACTCACTCCACATGCTCTGATCATCAGTGCTGGCACAAATATTTTACCATATTGCCCAGATGCACAGAGAGTGGCCCCTTCTAAAAGAGATACAGACAGTACACTGACTGCACACTTTATCACATAGGGGCTCACTCCCAGCCTGAATCTTTGATTTGACATGGGGATTCCAGCCAGGGCAGCCTTCTCACCCTTCCAGGTGGAACTAGTCTCCCCTTCCCATTTGTTCAGAATATATCTTTATAAATGTCACAGACAAGGGCAATACTTTCAACTTAAAATTTCAGCCAAAAGGGGAATAAATCTTCATAAGGTTGGCATGCTAACAGTTTGCCAAATTTGTCACAGTAAGGACAGGCTTCTTTGAAGCATAAAACAAGCTGTATTGCTCTATAGAATGAAACATATCTACAGATATACTTTGAAACAACACACCTACAAATATACAAACAAACATGAACAAGTTTATGCTAGATAAACATATTTTTGGTTTCTAAATGTTATGTAATATGTGACTAAGTCATTTTTTTTTCTTTTGCTTAATATATATATTTGTATTACTATAATGCTAGTCTAAATTGTTGGTTGTGTTATATGTAGTACATATATATATATATATATATATAAAGATAGATCAATGTAAATATATATATATTGCAAGCTAATGTCTACATGTTTCTATATTTAGTTTTTGAATTTTAGTTCTGATATTGATATTATTTGTCCAGATTCCCCTATACGATAAATCTAATGCGATTTCAATCTGGCAAGCCTAACTAGGTTTCAAATTTAGCTTTTAATGCTCTAAGATTTGAATGTACTAAGGTACCTACACTTATATATTCAAATTATTTTCCTTTCTCGCACCCACACATTAAACTGTGTTGGCTGCCATTTAGCTGTACAATATATATATATGTACAATATAATAGCTTTTTTATATATTTCCTAAAGGTAACTATTCAGTCCCCACCTAATTTTACACAGCATGTGAGGGAGCAAAGCCTTGTGACAGATCAACTGAGCCGTCGGCTCATCCGGACCTACCAGTTGTACAGTCGGACCAGCGGCAAGCACGTGCAGGTTCTGGATAACAAAAAAATTAATGCAATGGCCGAAGATGGCGACCCACATGGTAAGAACACTTTTGGACATTTACGGACATGTTTGAATATGTCATTGCAGTTGTGTATAATCTGTGGGTGCTGGGCAGCAGAACTTACAATTTACTGTTAGAGAGTATCTTTCATCTGTCTGGTATCAGGCTGGTGTTGGCAAGTGAGCTTACACTTTAGTGGTGTTGTCAAAGTTTAACACAAATTTTACTTATATAACATAGGGATTTTGGATAGTAAAGAAGTAACTATTTTGATTTTGTTTATACGTGTAAACATATGAATACTATAGGCATTATGGCCACCCAAGAGTAGTGGGAGTTTCAGCGCAGGGCATATTTCTGTATTTTAAGTTTCTAGACAATCTATTTGGGTGGCTAGTCATTAAACAGTGAGTTGTGAGAACCAACTTGGAAAACGGAAGTCAAAACAGCTGAGTAAGAAAAATTACTCCCCACCTTGTCTGAACTGAGAATGTATTGAACGTAGCTTTTTTAAGCTTTATTCCACAAGTCGCTTGTCAATGTGCGATAATTCACATTTCAGTGAATAGGCCCCTACTAATAAATGTTTGCATTGGATGGGATTGCAAGGAACATGTCATAATATTATTTGTAAGATACTGACATAATGAATGACACCAGTATGCTCTTTTTATCCTCCTCCCATGAGTCAGCAACCCATAAAGCTTACACTCTAATTTTGGAGTTTGACATAGATAGATAACTGCCCTGCTAGGATTACAGTGAGGATTAACTGTCTCAAAGGCCCAACCACCAGTTTGCTATATCTGTCTGTCTATCTATCTATCTATCTATCTATCTATCTATCTATCTATCTATCTCAATATCTCTCTCTCTCTCTCTATCTATCTCAATATCTCTCTCTCTCTCTCTATCATCTATCTATCTATCTATCTATCTATCTCTATCTCTCTCTCTCTCTCTATCTATCTATCTATCTATCATCTATCTATCTATCTATCTATCTATCTATCTATCTATCTATCTATCTTCTCACTGTCTGCTCTGGGGGGGGTAGATGGGGGGAGGAGAGTTGTACAATGCATAAATAGAAATGCAATGTGTTGTTAAACTCCCTTTGGCACTAATGGGGTTAATTGTCTCAATAGTTCAGGGTTAGCCAAGCACACGTTTTAGTGGTCATTGCTTTGTTTGGCCTAATTTTAACGCTTCGCTTGTAACTTTGCCTTTGATAAATGAAACATGTTGGGGCTTTATTTAACAAAGGCTTTCTGGTGCAAAACAGATGCAAAATGAGTGTAAAAATTAGCACCACATTTATCAGAGATGCTAATTCCTGAAGGACAGTGGCTCTTTTAAATGGTAGGTAAACGAGGTGCTTCAGTTGTACTGGATGAGGTAAAGACCCCCCAGAGTTTCACAGAGAATAGGTTTTAACAGGTAGTAGGAGATATAGTGAAATACTTTCCATTATTTTCCCCTGTTAGTGTTTACATCGAACTACGCAGTACAGGCCTTGTCAGACAAAGCTGTGTTTAAGGCTGCAGGCCTGTAACTGCAGGTGGGATAAGCCAGGCCACAAAACAAATTATTTTAATCAGATTAGGATATTAAACAGAGACTTAAAATCCAATGTTTATAAAATAGTAGCGTATCAACTATTCTAAAATTTGTGCTAGTAAATTGCAACACATTGACGTAGCTGTACATATGTCCCCCGCCCATAAATCTCATTTAATATAGGGGTCCATTCCCTAAACAGTGAGTTACGGCGAGGTGCCAACTGTCTTGTAAAATTAAGACAAAAATATTCAATACAAATAAATTGTCTAGCTCAACTTAAGTGTAGATTTTTTTTAATCTAATTTGACTATTTTAGTTTTTCAAGTTAATTGTTGGCTCGCCAAACTGTTTAGCAGATAAAGCACTTGGAACAGAACAGACATAGATTCTGGGTTTGCATTTGGCTGTCTCTGTAGTTAGCTAAAGGGTACTTTTTATTGATATATTTATATGGTTTGTTTTTTTCACACTTGAGAAAAATATTAATAACAAAGGAAAACATTTGCCTTAAGCAAGTTCAATGTGAGACAGTGGACACAGACAACCAGACAGATGAGAAAATTATACATACGCAGACGGTCTCATACGACATTGATTCATAAAAAAAGAAAAAATGCAATTCAGTCAAAAATAGAGCTTTTTAACTGAAGAAGAATAATTTTTGAGGTAGTAAAGATTCTGGGATTTATAATGAAGAAACACACACTCACACATACACACACAAACACACACACACACAGACAAAAGAAATATACAGGGATAAGAGTATGATACTAAACAGAAATATAACAAGCAGTTTCTCAGATGCAAAGGTTTAACAGAGTTGGAAGTCTGTAAATGTTAAAAGGAGGTTCAAGATTGTTCTATATAAATCTCCAGAGAGACCCCCATGTCTGGCAGAACCATTAAAACTCTTAGTACTTTCACCTTTTTTAACATTTCCTGAATAGTTTCTCCTCTTTTCAGTCCAGTTTGGGGATCAAATGTGTCTCACTGCATTTTTTCTGCATTTACGTAGCTACTTTACTTCAAAGTTTTAGCAGAAAACATAATTTTACTGGGATAAAGCTGTCACTACAGCAAAAAAGAATAGAATTGAAAATGCTATGCTTTCCAAAAATTAAACTGGGAAAACTCGTGACCCCAGCTTAAAAAATCTTCACCAAAAAAAAAGAACTTTAATTTAGCATCATCTCAAACAATGAGTATCTTAAACATATTTTTTTTAATTGCACTTTTTACAGCTGAAACTTGCTATGTCACTTGTCGTATCATGCTCTACACAGGATCATTTATTGGATACATTTCTTAATCACAGTTATTCTTACATGTCCCTGTGTTAGGAGGCACAGTCAGTCTGGACCACCTCAAAGACACGTTATATCTGGCGAGCTGGCCTGCTTTTATATTTACAGAATTTATACTGTTTAAATATATATCTGGATATAAAGAGTAGAAATAAATTAGGAGTACTCATAGGTAGACAGATATGTAGATAGACAGACATACATGGATGCATGCATTGTTTGCATTGTATGGTTTTATTACATTCTAGGAGTATTTAAAACCAATATACTAAAAAAAAAAAAAAAAAAAGATATGGAATTTTAGGCATTAGTTGTCTAGACCAGTATTTGTTTGTTCTCCAATTGTTCTTCACTAATGGGGTTTATTACACTGAAAATGCGAGGCTACATTACTTGCACCAAACAAAACCTTTACCTTACCATCTTCCGTCTGTCTGTAAGACAATGTGTAAGAAGAAATGAATCAATATTCTGTGAACCTTTTACTGGATTTCAATGGATTTTTCTTCATTTCCCACCAAAAGGCCCATAAGAGATCCATCCATTTGCACAGTTATTGAATCGGAAGTAGATTTGGATCAGGTGGGGAATTTAACCTATTATCTGTTAGAGGTGTGGGCAATAATGATAAGACGTGGATATTTTAGATAGAGGCGAATTAAAGAATTCAGAGTCTAATCTCCAGTCTTTATATGCTTGTGTACAAAGATTCGTGATGTAAGCTAAGGTAGGCAAAATTTCACATTTTAAATTTGGAGTTGCAAACTCTTTCTGTAAACAAAGAGGGTGGCAATAAATCTATAAAGTAAAATAAATGTAAAAAAATAAACATTGTCTCAATGAAAAAAAAAAATATTAGATCAATTTTATTTTAGCGGTCTTAGTTTGGTATTTTACCCATGTTTAATATCATACTTCTATTTCTGGGTGTATACATTGTGACAGAATACTACATAGCAATGTCTATTGAGTCCACATATATCTATTGATGTCCACACTCTGCAGGGGTTTGTCTTTTCAATAAACAGGGCATACTAGTGATTGGAGAATAACCTGTGAAATATAGTCTAAAATATAAGAGTTGGGAAAAAAAATCGTTCATTTTGCTCAGATGTCTGCCTTTCGCCTTAATTTACAAGTTTTGTTTCTAGTCGTCGTCGTGACCATCATGATGTTCAAATTAAAACATACTATGACAAAACAACGCATATCTATCAGCGTAAAACATATTAACGACAGCATGTTTTCAGTTATTATTTGAATAGATTTGAGTGAAATTCTGCATGCAGTTATTAATCATTTAGAATCTATATGGATTAGGAATACATATTAATATAAGGCGAGACCAGACGGAGAGTTTTGTATGTGGGGGGATGTCTATTTTTTTTTCTGTTGTTTTTCTTTTCTCGAAAGTGCATTGACCCAAAATTTGCATAGTCAGTCTGCGCGGCAATCAATAAGTAAATCAATAAGCCTCAACACACAAGGGTGAAAGAAATTAAAGGGCATTTGCTACCCTTTGTGTACTGTGTACTGAGCAAGCCAATAAAAAATACTTTAAATTGCTACTCTCCCTAGTTCAACAATTAAAAGTGGTAAGAAACTCCTCTTGTGTTCTGTAATGACTGAAGGGGTTAATATTGACCTGCATTTTATGTACACATAGAAACTCTCATAGTAAACTGATAGACACAAGTGTAGAATTGGGATAGGGAGTCTGAAGTAGTGATTGACAGTTTGTTATCTCTCTGTCTGGTACAAATTTAACATGTTTTAGCACAGATGGTTTTGTCTGTCTGTCTAATAAATGACTATCCTGAGCTAGTGCAGATTCATATGTCTTTATAATATGTATTGGAGTTGGCAATCCCATAGGGTTAACAGGTCAAACCATTGTTTCATAAATCAAATCTTTTCATTCTGCTACAAAAAAAAGGGCCTTTTCGGTAAATAGAAACAAAATTGCCATCATTTAAACCTGAATTTATCATGGACATTAACATGGCGTTTCAAAGTTTTCAAAGCTGGACATTACAAATTGATTGTGTCATCTGTCCAAGACTGGAAGCAAATATATGGAACAAAAAATTTATATTTTGTCCGTAATTGTATAAAATGTTTCCTGTGCTTTTCTTGATTAAAGACCAGGTTACGTTACCATGTGAGTGCCAGACGTTATGCAATGCATTGTTTTGTAAGGCATTGCGTAATTCTGGCACAATCTGAGTTTAACATTTTTGTTCCATTTACCAATGCAATGGTGCAATGCTACATAGATATTCAAATATTAAGGAACAAGTTGAATGGCCCAGGAGGATTGACAGACACTGGGGAAGCTGGAAGCCATAGAGTTGAGGCTAAAAAAACCAGGGGAAGATAGATAAAAAGACAAAGGGGGATCTGAAAGGGTTAGTTTGGCGAGACATGGGTGAGCTTAGAAAACATAGGGCAGCTTAGAAAACAAAACGAGATCTAGAAGCACTGATTTAGAATCTCAAAACACATTTTTAACAAAGTATGGCAATTGAATAATTATTGTTCCGTAAGAAACACTTGTTTAGATGTTCATATCTGGATGTAGCAGGATTAAAGAAGTAATGATTTGCTCTCTAAATAACATTTATTGTGTGTCTTGCTAGTACTTTAATAAAATCACAGGGAATTTCTGCATGAACGTCCTCTTGATTGGCACAGTTCACGTATATTGAACATTTCCCTTTTCTCTCGAGTAATACGTTTATTTCTTTGTCCTTACAGCCAAGCTGATTGTTGAAACGGACACATTTGGAAGCAGAGTCCGCATTAAAGGCGCAGAAACTGGCTTTTATATCTGCATGAACAAAAAGGGAAAACTGATCGGCAAGGTAAGGACATTTTTTGGAGCATGACAAAATATTGTCATATACATGCTGGGACCAGAGGCCTGGAGACTCATTTAAGTGTAAAGAGAAGTAATTAGGCAGTTATCGCAGCCGAGAGAAACAAAAAGGGTTTTCATGAGGCTCTGATTAAAACATTTTTTATTTTTTTATAATTTAAATAAAATTAGGGAAGAAATATAAGAAAGGTAAAGAGTAAAAAAAAAAACAATAATTGATTAAAAGACATAGGAGAAAAGGAAAGGGAAAAGGCTGACTAAAGAGGGATAAAAGAGTCAAAAAGAATAAAAGGTGGGAAGAATAAAAGGGGTGTTTCAAATTCCATATATCTTATTTAACAAATAGCTAAACTGCTTTACTATTCTGTGCGATTACATGGTACAACTAAATGGAATGTCCAGGCAGAGTTCAGACTGCTGCATTAGTAAGCCCTGAAATCTTCCCTTTAGTCATGCTTTCCCTTTAACAACCAGTAATATTTCACAAGCTTCTTTCTCTCAACTTCAATTTCAAGCCATTGTCAGTCTTTAAAGAGAAACTGTCATCATTTTAAATTTAATTTATATTTAAAGTAGACATTTGCATGACTTAGAACTTACGCGTGTACGGTTTTGTAAAGCAAACGTAAAAGTAAATATTTTCCTACTTTCAGTGCATCTAGTGGATTTATTTTGCTCTATGGGGTGGCCATCTTTAAGCCTCTTTGGTCAAAAGCACAGCTTATCCAACCGCAGATTGTGCTGGTAATGAAGAGCAAGTGTGGGTTCACAAAACCTAAACTATCAGCAAGCAAAGGGCCTCTCAAAAATGCACTTAAAGATGTTTTCAGACCTTCAAATTATGAATGGATTAAGCAGATAAGCAGGGCCTCTAATCCAAAAGTACTAAAGATGGCCACCTCTATGTAATCATTGCAAAAGAAGGCACAATAAGGCTGTGTTACAAGCAATCTTTGATTTTCACTACCTTTAAAAAGACGTTGACCGTTTTCCTTTATGATGTCTGATGAAATGAGGATATTTATCCCTTCTGAGCAATGTATTGGGCTGGGTGCGGAGATTAAAAGTAATCAAAGCTCAGACCACAGTTAGCTTTATATATCTGATTTAGACTTCCCTCGTTCAAGATTAATCGATTCCAAGTACTAGTTATCTGTAGCCTAGGTAAAAGTTACAGTTTGATATGTTTAGGATTAACATAACCTGGATTTCTGGAGAAATTATTCAGGAACTGAAAAGTTTCGGCAAAAATAACTAAAGTAGTAAATTCTGGCTATTCTTGCTAACTGGGCTATTTTGACCTACAAATGTTCGATTCCTGTATTAATTTCACACAATTTAGTGTTTAGTGAGTAAATTAATCATTTACAAACCACCAACGTTTACTGCAGTGTTGTATAATGGGGTTTCTGCTCAAAGTTATAAAACTGGTGTCTGTGTCAACTTTTTTGGGTGATTTTACCTCTTAAAGTCAGAACGTTGCAACTACATACCAAGAAGAATGGATGTAGCTGAACAACTGTGAGAAATTCATTAAACCTATGTTTTATCAACAAAAAGAAAGAATGTACAATTAAATATAACACCTCTCTGAAATGTAATAGGATTCTTAGTGAATAGCACATACATATCTCTTCGGGTTTAGAAATGTTACAGCTACGACAGAAGCTGTTCCATTATACACCTCAAGCATGTTTAATCAACTTTACTTAATGCCATGATTTGCATAATGTACAAGGTGGCTAATTCTTTAACCAAGTAGATGTTGTTTTAAGTATTTAAAAGTCATGATTCTTTTTCAAAATGTAGTGTGTTCACTAAGCAGTGAGAGATTTGCAAAATTTAGACCAACACAAGAACTATAACATATTAAACTGGCTGGGTTGGAGTTTTTTTTCCAAATTTCATCAATTTCGTCCAAGTTATACAAGTTAGTTGTCAATTCAACCCAACTCTTTGTTAGTGAACACACCCCCTTAGTTAAGCAGAATGATAATATAAACTTGATCTTTTCTCATGAAATGTATCTGGATCATTGTTATGTCAGCAATGTTTGTTTTTGTTTGGTTTTTATCTAAACACATCATCATAAAATATATACTAATTATATCTTTTTCTTGGTATGTCTGCAGACAAATGGAAGAGGCAAAGATTGTGTCTTCACCGAGATTGTCCTCGAGAACAACTACACTGCTTTGCAAAATGCCAAGTATGAAGGCTGGTACATGGCGTTCACACGAAGAGGCCGTCCTAGGAAAGGGTCCAAGACAAGGCAGCACCAACGGGAGGTTCATTTTATGAAGAGGTTGCCGAAGGGCCACCACACCACAGAACCTCATAAACGTTTTGAGTTTATTAATTACCCTTTTAATAGAAGGAGTAAAAGAACTCGATACTCAGGCTCTCGGTAGGAACCGGACAAGAGTCACTTCCATGTTCCAGAGACTTTTCATACAGACTACTCTATTCTAATATAAAAACGGACAAGTTGGACTCGCTGTTTTATATATAAATATACATATATATTTTTTGGTTTTTACAGAAGATGATCTATTTTTTTATTTCTACAGACTTTTTTTTTTTTAAGAAAAAAAAACAAAAAAAGAAGAACTGTACGGACTTACAAAAACAATGTGCGCTCTGCACATAGATCTTAGACTTTTCTTTAAAAAAATAAAATAATAATCTAGCAAACAACGTTGTAGGTGAAAGTGAAACCGAAACCTGGGACCAAAAGTGCTACTTACAGATAAAAAACATAACCAAAAACAAACAAACAAAATACAGGTACCGAACAACTGAGGAAGAACCTTGCTCATGGTTCTTAATTTTCTACATAAATCTGTTGGGTAAAGGTTGTTTTATTTTCTATTTTTTTTTTTTTTTTTATTATGTATGCTTTTGATTATTTTTAAGAGCTGCTTTTTTCACTCATTCAATTTCCTTAATGGAAATGTTGAATTACCTGGTTGAAACAGGTTTTCATGTCTAACAAAAAAAATGTAATTTTTTTTTAAAATTAAATATAAATATTTCTGCCAACAAAGAGAAATCACCTTCTTTGACACAAAAGACCTCAAGACTTGCAACTGCATGTTGATAAAACAAAGTGCATCCCAGTGGTAGAAAACAGATGTAAAAATAGTGATAAAAGTAATAATAATAATGGTATTATTTTTTTTAAACACTGTACAAATGTCAGTTGCCTGGCAAGATCTTTGTCCTTTTTTTTTGAGGATATGTGTACATATTAATATTAATGATGGGAATATTTATTTGAATGTGTATTAAAATTTGTAATAGTATTATTTTGGCGTATGTTTTCTTTTTATTAACCTATATATTTTCTTTGTTTCATATATGACACTGTTATCAAAACTGAAACCATTCAGCAGCAAATAGTCGGTGGTCTGGAACCTATAAAAAAATTATTTGCATCATATGACGTTTAAAAAAACTAACTTAGCTAACCTGGGCTTCCGCTGGTTACATTTACAAGGTTATTCCCTGACGTGTAAAATGCTGGGAATTCAAAGTACATTTTAAAATTTTGTGCAAAAAAAAAAAACCACTGAAATGGAAAACAATTAGCGAATAACCCTGTCAGTATTTGTCCCAAAAACAAAAATAACCCAAAGGATTTATTTGCATCTGGGAATTGTGGGAGCTAATCAGCTCAACTATTGTCATGCCTGGTTCTTATTGGTTACTTACAGCACCTGATCTCTGTATCTTTTTTTTTTTTTTTTTTGCTGTGTCACAGAATATTTAACACCTGCTTTGAAATTCCAAGCACTTTAATTAAGAAAAAAAAAAATGTAAGCTCCCGGGCTAACCATTAAACATCTTTGATACAAAATATAAATACAACTGGTAAAATCTGGCTTTGCAAACTATACCTGTGCACACTGTAGGCACAATTTCATTAAGGATATAAGGGTATAGTAGCCATTCTCTGGAACAGCAAGTAACCTTGGAACCTCCGCACTCTTACAGCTGATTGGTTGAACGTTTTTAACACTTGGCTCTGGTTATGGCTTAATAAAACATAATTGTACAAATCACAGTAAGAGATAGATTTTATATCTTCTGATTTCCAAATATATTTTTTATTATCCTCCATCAGATTTAAGGCATAACATTTATTTATTTATAAATCTAATACGAGCACTTAGGGTTATTAAAGGGACACTATAGTCACCTGAACAACCTTAGCTTAATGAAGCAGTTTTGGCGTATAGAACATGCCCCTGCAGCCTCACTGCTCAATCCTCTGCCATTTAGGAGTTAAATCCCTTTGTTTATGAACCCTAGTCACACCTCCCTGCATGTGACTTGCACAGCCTTCCATAAACACTTCCTGTAAAGAGAGCCCTATTTGGGCTTTCTTTATTGCAAGTTCTGTTTAATTAAGATTTTCTTATCCCCTGCTATGTTAATAGCTTGCTAGACCCTGCAAGAGCCTCCTGTATGTGATTAAAGTTCAATTTAGAGATTGAAATACAATTATTTAAGGTAAATTACATCTGTTTGAAAGTGAAACCAGTTTTTTTTTCATGCAGGCTCTGTCAATCATAGCCAGGGGAGGTGTGGCTAGGGCTGCATAAACAGAAACAAAGTGATTTAACTCCTAAATGACAGTGAATTGAGCAGTGAAATTGCAGGGGAATGATCTATACACTAAAACTGCTTTATTTAGCTAAAGAAATTTAGGTGACTATAGTGTTCCTTTAAGTACAGTGTAATCTGTTACATTTTCCTTTTTTTTTTACTATGCAATGATTGCATTTAACTTTCAAATGTAACCATTTAAGCCAAGAAAAAAAAAAACTAAAACCAAACTAGCCAAACATAATATAAAGTGAAACTCATTTGTCATATAAAATACGGTCAGTTTCATTACTAGTGGGAATAATGCAGGGTCGCATTCTCCCAACAGATCTGGGCAGTTTTGACGAACCATTGTCATGCGGAGACAGTGAATACAGAGCTAATCATTAGGGATGGGCTTTTGTGTTGAATTGCAAATTTTATTGAAATTTTTGCAAAGGAATCAACAAATCTTAGAAAGCTATGAAGGCAGAATACTCCTGCGGCTAGACCTCCAAGAATAGAATTAGTCCTTGGAATGTAGACAAAGAAAGAGATTTGGGTCAGTTTGTAATTCCAACAAACGCATGTGGTATATGTTTGCAGGTTGAAGCAAAATGTGTATAAATAGGTCATTATCTGTGCATGATGACTCTAACATTTATTATACAACATGCAACAGTGACAATTAAACAACACCGAGCAGAAACCATTGTAGTGACCATAATGCATTACCCACTGGATAGGCTCAGCAGTATGACAGAAAGTTAGATGAGTATCATAATTTACTCAGACACTTCCCGGACTTGTAAGAGCTAATTGCAGACTGAGGTTTTGCAGCAAATATAAGGCTTCAGGGTATTTTTTTAATGTATTTATACTTATATCTTATGGCACTATTTGTGTACTGCTTAAAAAATAATGGATACATTCCATCCTGGAGTGCTTCTTTAAGAAAACGGGGGAGGAGGTGGAACTGATACCCCTTTGCCCCCATCACCCCAGCGCTGGGTTGGTGCCTTCTGCGGCATTACTGATCCCATGTAAGAAAAGCTAAAAAGCATTCATGTAAAATGAGAATCCCAAGTCTCAAGGACCAGTGGGGACCTGGGTTTATATTTGGGAGCTTTCAGACTACCCTAGAAATAGCTATTGGAATTTCAGTTTTGATTTATTGGCTTGCGTCTGAGTGACATTAGGAGTTATTTTAGCAGAGATACTAAGGTGATGTGATTTTCTAGTTCTGTAAAGTTGACACTGCACAAATTAATGATGAGAACGGCAGCGAGTCACATGTGGTGACACGTTCTGGGTTACATACATCATGCCAAAAAAATGGAACATTGGAGACAGGAGGCTTGCCATCTATGGCCTTCGCGTTATTTTTCACATTGTACGAAGGGACGTCGAGCTGGGAAATATTTAAGTGTCCATTTCAATTTTTAATGTCAGGTCTGTTTTCCCTTGTGTTTTATAACTCTATGAAGGGTATTAACAAGCAAAGATCCAAAAATTCAGCCTTGGTGTGACTGGCTGCCTGGTATTCTCAGCCAAGGTGCTGTCCAATTTAAAATGATATATTGTAATTGCAACAAAAAACAGCACCAGCCTTTTAACAGACAGGACATAAACTCGCTAATGGAATTTGCAGAAGCTTCTACCTGTTTGATGAATGAGTATAGCAGAAACTCCAGGCTCCATTTCTGTGATGAGAACAGACATAAAAGGTTTTTGCATTGCTAATTTTCAGTAACTCAATAATGATATGCATGCATTTACAAAACAAAAATCAATAGGAAGAAGAGTGGAATACATAAATAGATTGCATAATTTCTTATTACAAAAAATGATTATAACGACAGGCACTTGGCACGTACGCTCTGCCCTTTTATTTTGGGGTGGTGATGACTCAGCTCTTTGTGGTTTATTTAGTAACTGGTTAATTGAGGTGAGATGGCAATCGACAACTAAATTATTTATTTGATTTGTTTATAAAATATTTTACCAGGATGAATACATTGAAATTTCTCTCACTTTCAAGTATGTCCTGGGTCCACAAAACCAGGAATTGTGTGATATTAAAGAATGAGTTGTAACTTATAGAACTCAGCAATTCCATTGTTAGTTTTGCACAATTTCTGTTTGAGTGAACAAACCCATTATACAATTTTAGGCTTCACCTTTTTTGAGGTTTCCTATATAGCTCACCATAGCTAGGTGCCAAACAGATTGTGGTGAGACAAGACACAATAAAACTTCACACAGTGTGAATTGAAAAATTACTGTTGTGCGTCAACTGCATATCCTAATTTGTCACTCTGATATCAAGCACCAGCCAGATTCACAGATTCAGTTGTCTAAGATGATAAATTAGATGCATGCTTTTGTGGCGAACAGAACCTCGCCATGGGCTTTAGAAGGAGCCAGCTTGCCAGCCTCCTGCCCCAGGACTATGGCCCAGTGATAAACCTTGGTTAAAGGCACTGTTCGTGTCTTTTGTACTTATATAGTTCGGTATATGGGGCTTACCGAACAGATTAGACTAATGCTGTTCATATACCGAATGAACTGTCGAACGGACTGACCACCCAGAACAGTTATGTGCTGCTTATTACCCTTATTGACCTCGTTAACTGCAACGTTCTAAGTGGTTAACTGAGTGGCCGTTGTTCATATGTGCGAACATGTGGCGGCGGCCATCTTGAGCCGCGAACACATACAGCGGTGTTTTGTCATCAAGTGCGTGGAACTATAATCGGACACTTGGCGGCGCAAACACCGCTGGGACTTTCATCTCTTCGTACGTTCAGATCGATTCACTTGAGAAGAGCGGTGTTCGGTGGAACACACTGCTGAACAAGACACACAGACTAAGTGTACATACGAACTGGTTGCATTCGTATTTCTGTTGTATTGTGAACTCCCGAAAGAGATCGACCGCACAGCCTGATTTCATGGAACTCTTTTGGGCAGGAGCATCGTGTGCGGTCGGTCAAATTATGACCTCCATGGAAATCCTGAACCCCTGAACCGATCTGGGTGATTTTTGGATATGTTGATTCCCCCAGATCGGGGCTATCAGGGATGTGACTTTTGTGGGGTTTCCATGTGTTTTAGTGGTACTTTCGGGAGGTTATTAAAATGTATGTTTTCTGTGCCTGGAGATAATTGAGTTTAGTACAGTTCCTGACTCAATTATCTCCCAGGCACAGAGGAGGGATTATCATGTTTTATGTGGGAGTGTCCTGGACCTGAGAGCCAATGTAATCGTTTGTATATTTTTTCTGAAGTCTACTCTCAATGAGTGCCCCTTGCATCGGGACCTGCATATAAGGCCAGTTATGGCTGCCAATAAACGTGTTCCTGCTTACCCTCAACACAGAGTCTCATCTCATGTGTGGGGGAAACAGCTGTATCTACTCTGGGGATGCTATATCACTATACTCCCCTGGTATTATAATCACTTGCTCTTTTAAGAGCATATTACTGCACTCTCTTGGAGGAGAGGTCTACCCACTGGAAGCTGGATCCTGGTCTTGGGTCCTGGGTGGGTGGAGGACAGCGAGACACCAAGCACGCTGTAACGCTGGAAGTGGGGACTACGGTGCTGATGGTGTCTGGTGCTTGTGTTACTCGGTAAGCACCAGGAAGCAGTGATTGGCGGAGGCACCCAGTCGTGGTGCCAGG